AATTTATAATACCTGTACCATCTTAAGAAATGCAGCGAAGGTAAACTATTACCCTCGAAGTCGAACTTTCCAAGCGAACGGGTTAATTGATCACCAAGCCGCAAAACATTACCTAAATTCGAGGGGCTTTCGAATCCGCGTCTCTTTTAAATGGGAATATTCCCGGGAGAACTAGGAAGTGCGTGAAAGTGCCTATGTAGGTCAGTTATCGGAAGTGTCAAGGTCTTAGAAAAAGGATAGGGTGGGAAAATGAGAATGAGCTTTTGCGGGCCAAATGGTGGATTTTCCTTACTTTTTTTCCAACAGATTTGGAGGAAAATGAAGGTGTCCCACTTAGCTGACAAGGCCTCATCGTGAATAGTTATCGGCGGGTTTTCTCCGCACGTGAAAGTGCGCCGGGATCGAGCTGATCTTAACGATAATGGGGAAAAAATACATCACGGTGTGTAAATCGCGCTTAGCTGAGTGAAGATGGTAATATAAATGGCTGGCGTTACGGGCACGAGTAATAGTGCGCTTCCTTTCGTTACGTTACTTTTCCTGGTAGAATTGACTTTTTCCGCGAAGAAAGTCGCCGCGGAATTGCGATCTCCGGGGCGATTCAAGAATGGGATCTTACGAAAAGATTCGCAGTTTAAATAATAACCGCGTGTTGTATTTTGAAAGCACTTTGTTAACCTTGTATCTTTATTGTGAGCTTATTTTATAATTGAAGGTTACAGAAAGATAGTTATTATTCATGGCAATGATTGTTCAAGAATGGGATCTTTTAAAAAAATTCACAGTTTAAATAATGAACGCCGGTGGAAAAGTTTTAAAGCCCTTCGTTAAATTTGTATCTTTATTGCGAGCTTATTTTATAATTCAAGATTACACTAAAACAATTACTATCCAAGAATAGGATCCTTCGAAAAGATTCGCAGGTTAAATAATGAACGCGGGTGGAAAAGTTTGAAAGCACTTCGTTAAGTTCGTATCTTTATTGTGAGCTTATTTTAAAATTCAAGATTACACAAAGACGATTATTATTCGAGACAATTATTATCCAAGAATGGGATCTTATGAAAAGGCTCGCAGTTTAAATAACAAACGCGAGTGGAAAAGTTTGAAAGCACTTCATTAACCTCGTGTCTTTATTGCGAGCTTATTTTATAATTTATGGGGGCTATATATCATCGAAGTGTCATGCACTGGACTGAGAAAGTAGACCATCGTAGTTACATGTGCTGTATGAATCTAAGGGAATATGTTAATGCGAAATTTGTTAGAGGGAGCTGTTTAATACAATTTAGAAATATAGACGGTATGATTTCAATTTTGATGAAAAATGTATCCATTTACGAACAAAACTCTCATGGTGTTTGGACTCATTAATTGAAGGAAAATGATGTTGCGTAACAGGAAATTTATGTAACCACTTCAATTTTGTATTAAATCATCCATGATAGCGCTCTTAAGTGCACCCCTTGGTTGCGTTTATATCTCAATTTTCCATTATTAACAAAATAATCATGGTAATCTAAGTCCTCCATATAACCACAAAAATACATGCTCGGGAAAACGTTATCGGTTGAAAAATATCTATAACCTGTGACGATAAGGAAAACAAGATACCACTTTCGCAACATTTACTTCGGCTATTCTGTAACGTAATTCACTGTGATAATGAAATTCGTGTTCCACCACATCGTGATTCGGACGATGAATATTTAAAATTTACTGGTTTTTAGAAAAGAAAAAGAAAAACCACTTGAGACGAATAATTTTGCATATGTGCAGCTTGCATTTGACGATTTTCAAAAGCAGCTGACACACGGATTCGGTAGATTTTGCGTAGGAATGTTCCAAGAAACTCAGGCTTTGCCAGCGATGATGTCAGACGGTAAACCTAATGGGATAAAATATTCATACTGAGTCGATCATCGAACCGGCAAACGCTGGGCCAGGCCGAGAGCTCGCGATCGAGAGACCCAAGAGGCGGACATATTGAAAACGAGAGTTTCGAACCACTCCTATCAGACGGCGTCTGTCTGAAAGAAAGTGTAGCAGTCTGCTACAGGCTCTTGACAGAAATGAAAGTGCTCTCGGGATTGCCGGAACTCGCGGTGTTTCCTTGGAAGCAACTACTCCATCCGCATTGCCTTTTAAACTCGCTTTTTAAGTCGCTCTGGACTGACCTCCGGTCATTAAAGTTGAAATGAAATATCAAGTAAAAGGAAAGATACCGAAAATCAGAGAAACATGAATACAAGTTAAAAAAAGACATCGAGGAATTTATTAATGCTTTGACAAGGAATTTATAAATACTCCGGAATTATCTAGATGAATAAAATGATTTCTATTAGGTTGAGGAATAAGTTTCCGCTGTTTTAATTACTTTACGTTACGTTAAAAACGCCGGGAACTTATTCCTCAACCTAATTAATGAGAAATTCAGGAGATACTCTGTTGAAAATCCTTGTAAATTTCACAGAATCTATGTATACTAAGTTCTATTCAGATTATTACTCCGAAACGTTCATTTAAATTGAGCTGCAACGTTTGCCAAGTGTACGGGCAAATTTAAGATTTTATGACATTTTGGCGTAAATATTTAAAACTAAGTAGTATATTAAAATCTGAATGAAACTTGCAATACATGTTTCATGAACTTATTATAGGTTTTTTCAGTGTTTGTAACGTTGCAGTGTATGATCACATATGTGTCCATAATTATGAAAGTGGTCTAAGTCAAAATTAAAAAAAAAAACTGAGTTTATCAGTTATTTCACGCCATATTATTTCAAACGAAATTAATTCAATGTAATTTCGAAACAAAAAATATATGACTTAGACCACTTTCATAATTATGGGCACATATAATCGAATACCCAAGGACTAGTAATGGAATGTATGAATTAGAAAAATGTTAATTTTCCAAATTATTTTCATATATTACTGGAATATTTATAGACGCCCCTCCTTTTCTTCCTATCCTCGTGGTTAGAGTGACTAAAGTATTCTAATGATCTCGAGGAGATACCCTAGTGAAGATCATCACGCAGACCATCTTAAACCGAAACAGCAAGTTCGCCAGTGGTCGTGTTTGACAAATACACCTCAACGTAACAAATGACGTGAGCTGAACACGTCATTTGAAATTCTTCGGTCGCCCCTCTGTTGCGAGTATCGATTCATTCATCGATTAAATATTTTTTTTTTTGACTACGGAACGAGCACAAGGCATAAGGAAGTACTTTAACGTCAAATTACGAACTCCGTACGATGAAAACAGTAATTTAGGAAACGAGGATGTACGTAACTCACCTATGTCAATAAATCTCGCAAAGAGCTTTAAGTACATCGTTGACAAGAAGCCACTAGGCTTTGTTGTACAAGCCTAGGTTAAAACTTATTTTTTCTTTTTTTGTAATATTCAGAAAATTAACAAAGATAGCTTGCCAAAAATGTCCCGCGAATAGAATTGGTGGCTTTGGAAATTTATTTAATAACTTCGGCCTGTATATTGTTATGTATAGATTATTACTAACTCTATTAAATTATCACTGATTTTTGTTTTTAATATTTAGAATTGAGTTTTGTGGAAAAGTAAAATAAAAATCTGCGCGAGTAGTTTTCTCGACCCCGAGTCGAGTTTTACGTATTAGTCATGGTATCGGGAATAGGATTTGTATGTTCTATTTGTTTTTCTTTTTTTTTTTAGTCATTCCTGTTTTGCACTCAAGTGTCACATGATTAACGCGAAAAAGAGTGTGGAGGCGGTCTGTCACTTTATCGGAATAGGTGTTAGTGAGTCTAGAGAAGAGAGATCATCGTGATTACGTCCTATTAAAATTTTCTGCATTACTAGGGGAATCTAGGGGAACGGAGGAAGACACATTTCCCTGGGAATTGTCCGGTAATTAACGAATTAAGATTGTAGCAACACGTCTTAAGTGCTGGTCACATCATTTTCATTTTAATCTTCTTTAGTACCATATGCATTTAACTCCAAAGGCACGAAAATTGTTAATGACGTTTGGAAATGACCTTCTTCATGAAATTCATGAAAACCGGATATCTTGCATTAACATACGCGTTAAACATTAAAACGTAATGATAATATTTGAATCTGAAAATAATTCACGGATGTTTAACGCCTAATTGTCAAAATAATGCCGGACCATTGTCTACTAACTTTTGTTGCATTTTTTAAATGTTACGTTATGAATGCAGAAGAATGGCGAGACAATCGTCCCTTTGTTTCGGTATCTCTTCCTCCATCTACGTATTATACATACAATGCGGAGTAATTTAAGGTAATTAAAAACCATTTTTATCCATTGTCGAGTAGGTGCACGAAAAATTAAATATAAAGAACATTCATAAAAAAGGCAATTAGTCATGATAAATAACAAAAGATGGCAGTAACTGGAGAAAGAAGAACCGGGTGAAAAAGTACCCCGAGTCATTTCCTCCTTACCAAATTCAGTTATTAACCTTCTCTTTTAGGAATGCTTTTTTTATATATATAAGCCATCCAGAAATCCATTAGCATTTATAACAATGTCGCACTTGATTCACGAAGAGCCGTTTGTATATAAAGCTTTAACTCTTCCTCCCATAAAATCAACAAGAATACCAAACCAGACCTTAAGTGCCTTCTTTTCTTTTACATGACATAACATGTCAAGATGTTCCACTTCTAATGTTTGACGTGACTAGTAAAGAGATCCATTGCTAGCGAGACAATTCATGAAATGGACGTTTCGAAAGACGTTCTAAATACACCTGTGCGAGTAAAGAGCCACCCAAGGATAGAAAGATAGGCATCGAAACGTTAATGGGAGTCGACCGGAGACTTTCAGACTTTGAAGGTGTTTCCCACCGATCTCGACTCGGCTAACGCAATCGGATAGGTAGTCTCGGTTTGTTCACCTCCTAGGCTCCTCGTGAATCAAGTGGAGCACTTTACTGTCGGAGGAAAACGGCGTGGAGCTGTAAAAAGTGGCTATTCTTACGTCATTTATGGACGGCCGGTGTGCTGATCGGTTTGGCGGTCCTCTTCGCGCTTCATGTTTCCATCGCAGCGACGATCGAGGTCCTCGGCATTGTCGTTATTGCGTTTCCCGCCGACAGATGGCGCGGCGCCTCGTCTTCTCGCGAGCGCCGGATCGCCGGGCGACAGAGGCGGAGAGAGAGAGAAGAGGACCGGCCGAAAGAGACCGGGAGGACAGAGAGAGAGGGGAAAGGACTCGATTTTAAAGATCGGATCTTCCTCTCGCTCGCGGTTCCCTTTCTCTTTCCGATGTGGCGTATCTCCCTCTCTCTCCCTCTCGCAGGTTTCCGCTCCTAGCTCGACTCTTCTTCCTTACGTCAGATGGATCGCGTGCACCAATCGCGGTATCAATTTCGATTCACTGCACCAACACACTGGAATACCCTTGGGACCTCCCCGTTTGGCTCTTCCGTCTTGTCGGGCGATTTTCGATTCGTTGGGTGGGTGAAAGGCCGGCCGACACCTCACTGGAAAGTGAACATTTTTCGACTCTTTATTGGAATATCGACCTTAGCGATCCTGAACCTGACTTTTTGGCATCTCCTCTCGGCCGCGATTCCTCGTTTTTCGGAATTGCCACATTTTGTCGGGGTGGTCAGGGAAACGAGGTGGGAGGAACGTAAATAGGTCCGGGTGGTTTGTCGCATTGCATGAAGCATAAATGTGACGCTGGATTAAGGATGGACGTGTTCATGTTTCATTTTTAATATCTTTCTCCCGGACTGATTGCAATTTTGTTAGCCTGATCTTTCGTCTCGCTTCGTGAATCGCGATTGCTTATGTTTCGGGATTGTCAAATTCGTCGGTATAACCGCAATACAGTGCTTGTTTAACAGGAAAATAGATAATTTCAGGTGATTTACCAATTTGCGCGGAATAGAATATTCCACGTGATATGTCGGGTTGCATAAAATATATATGTGGCGTCAAACCAGAAAGTGAATATTTAGTTCTGAATTTTTTTACTTTTAACGAGCTTAGTCATTTTATATGTGACCTTATATGAAATGTGGTCGAGGGAAACGTTGGCACATGACCAAAAGGAAATTCGACTTGAAGGAACTACATTAGAAAGGTATCACCAGACAGTGAATGTTTAGTTTTGATTTTTATACTTTTAACGAGTTCAGTCATTTTATATATATTACCATGTATGAGACTTGGTCGAGGGAAACGTGGTCATATGACGAAAAAGAAATTCGACTTGAAGGAACTACATTAGAAAGGTATCGCGCATGGCGATGCATGTGCCAGCGATTGACACCCGACTGGAAAGCGAATACTTTCGTCTCTTTACTGGCATTCGATTTTATCTAAACAAACTCGGTCTTTCTGTTCTTTGGAACGTGATCTCGATGGTACCCAGTGATTGCATGGAACACGGTTTCACGAGAAAAATTGAATGCGATGATAAGAACTTAGGAAGGAAATTAGGTCTTATAAAAAGGTATTCGTGGTATCGTATCATATCCGTCGTGAAAGCTAAGATTTTAATTTCTTCATTTACTAGATAAGGATCATTGATCCTTGACGTTATACAATGTTTGTTGCGTTAGATTCATTTTCACGTTCTCCTCGGCCCGAGCCTTTAAGAAGGTTTAGAAATCTTATAATAACTTAAAATAATTTCAGTTTGGTATAAATTTTGTTACTTGTGAAATCTTCCTTCGTTAAAAGAAACAGTAGGATATTGTAAACAACTGTCACAGAAAGGTATTGTAATCGATCGATTGTGAGGACATTTTATATGTGACAATGTGATAACATATTAGAATTAATTATGATATAAATGATTAGACACGTAAGAAGTGTTTTTAAAGGTTAGGGTTTTCATTTTTACTGAACATCCTTTTAATACACTTAAACATTTTTGTCATTCTGACAAGAATGTCTTCTCGCTTCGAAGAGATCAAATTTTGACAAACGATTGTTGGCATCTGTAGGAATTTAAGCACGGATTATTTTATGTAACTATAACTTCTTAGTCAACGAAATTTGGGAAAAAAAGAAATATGCAGGAATTACAAATGGTCGTGAAAGTTCCGGTTTCGGTGACATAATAAAAGCACAATGTTGCTATTATATTGTACCATTGTATGTACTGAAAATATATATACTAAAAATTCGTAAGAAATATTTTTAACGAGAAAAAATAACCAAATGAGAACCGCACGACGCCTACTCCAAAATGAACACTTTTTATCAATTATTAAAGGTGATTTTACGAATTTCTTCCTTTTCTATAGTTTTACGGTCATGCTTAATTGCAAGACAATTTTGCGTGAATATGATATTATTATCGCGAGTGACCACGGTACTTTAAGCGAACGTAAACTTCAATAGCCGGGGGCAAATAAAATTTGGGTTAATGAAAAATAGAAGAACAGCGGATAGTCGTGAAAGTTTCTATTGCTGTGACATAACAAGATTAGATGGCGAGCGAGACTATGAGCCAAGAAATAAAGTGGCAATCATGGGTAAATGTTTCCGGTGTGAAAAGAAGTATTCCATTTTGTGAATAAATTCGGTTTTTACACCTATTGCGATAGCTCGCAGCCATTAACAGCTGCAGCCGAGACAATTAAGTAATGAAACCGCTTATCCGAGAAATTTGAAACTCCCCTCGATAGTGGGCAATAACAAATCGAGCCAGTTCAATCATTCCCTTGGCATGAAAAGTCGTATTCACCCCACTCGAAATGTTAACACTTGGCATAATCGCTAATGACCTCGCGATTGTTCCGCATTCATAGAGATCGATACGAGGTTCGAAGTAAAGTTCAAAGTTTCGCCGAACACGACCTACAATGGCAATTAACCTACACTGTTGGACCCGCGTCGGCCAATAAATCGAATTATTTTACTAGTAGTTTTCGAATCACCGCGAGTAATAAAAATGAATGACAAATATTCCATTAATTCCTTATTACGGATATTGCATTTAAAACGACCGGGTACATTACCTGGGACGATATTATTCACATTTTCGCGCCACGTACCACTTAACCGGCGTAATTAACTTTGAACCGTCGAAATTAAGGCATTAACATTCCACGTTTAAGTACACGATATGGCAAAATGTGGCAATTTTTTTTCTTAGCAAATATCATCAACGTGTCACATTCGCATTTCACCGAAACTCCGGGGACTTGCACGATTTGCCCGCCATCGACAAACCCGGCCGATAATGCACCACGACCCAGTAACATTTCTCCTTCATCGGCCCTGTCTCTCTCTCTCTCTCTCTCTCTCCTCCTCCCTATCTCTCTCATTCAGATGTTCCCTTTCTACTTGGCACGTAACCGCGAAACGCGTTCACTTTTTCGAGCCTCTGGAAAGCTTCGGGGCAAATCGAAAGCGCGCACTAGTCCCGGAACTTTTGCTCTCGATTGAGTATTCACTCAGGAGATGATTGACTTTAACGCTTAAAATCCCTGGAAATCGTTGGAAATCGTTGGAAATCACCGGAAATTATCGGAAATCACCGAATTCCGTCACAAATTTAAGGGCAAAAATCACTTATTACCGAATCGCATTGTTTATCACATGAAATCAAAGTCAATTGGTTCTCAAAAGAGATCTTTTTCACTGATTCCCAAATGAATTAGCCCCTCGTTTGCTCCGATCGATCGCCCCGGTCACTTCCGCGGGTCTAAGAGTCGAGACAAAGGCAAAACCCGGAGGAAAGGACGGATAAAATGGGGAGATTTTGAAAAGGCGGTACAGAGAGCACGTCGCTGCACCGAGTACATACTTGGCGACCTCGGCGTTGCGCTGGCCGAGAGGAGAGCCGTTCTTACGTAAATTCTGACATTTCTCCCGTATCCCGAATCGGTTCACGTACCGCGAAAAGGTATGTCCGAGGAACGGCAAAAATCCACCCTGGACGCACCTCCGAAACGTCACTTTGACAGCTCGCGCTGCGGCCCACGTGGTCGGGGAACGTCGGGAAGACGGCGGCGGGCGAAACGGGACAGGACGCGAGGAGGGACTCTTCTAGGGGAAATTTCGAAGATTACGGGTAATGATATGTTAAAAAGTCGGTTCAATTGGCGCGGTGGGCACGAATAACGCACATTTCGGCTATCTTTCACCCGCGGCCCGGGGGACAAGCGACGATCGCTGGGGTTGGTCGGGGAGTCTTCGGTTGGGCTTTTTCTCGGGGCCGGGAACTCGCCGACGCAGGGCTGGTTTTCTTTCTTTTTTATGGGAACGTGGAGGGCTTTTGGCGCGCCGCGGTCCGCGGCCTGCCAAGGGGAGAGATGAGGAGGGAAGGAGAGGTCGGCAGAAAGCGCGGGTGAAAATTAATGCGAATGCGCGAGCGGACTCGGCCCAACTGCGGACGACGTACACTCGTCGTCGTCGCGGTAGCAAGAAAGGTGGGGAACCACGCTGGCTGGGGACGAGAGAAGTGATTGTGGATTGTTACATGCCGTTGCCCACGACGGGAGAAGGCGACACGAGACGTTACACGAGTTCCCCGAGGATGGCGGCAACTTTTTGGAGGTGGCCCGGACACGCGATTTTTTTTACCTTAAGGGTCATTCTNTAAAATAAAATAACTTCGGCCACTTTCGTAATCATCGACACGATTAAGAAATTTAAGGTCTTACGAAAGGGTCATTCCATGTATAATGAAACATCAAAATATTTATAAAACTTTTCTCCAAACGGGGTGCACCGAATCGTTGGAAACTTTAACACGTGATTATGGAGGACCTAAGGAAGAGCGCCATGCTCGTGAAATTTCATTTCTCAAAGAATAATATGTGTCGGCTCTAATCTTGGATACATAGAAAATTTTTCTTTGAAAAATGAAATTTCATGAGCGTCGCGTTCTTCCTTGGGGCCTTCATAATCATGTGCTGAAGTTTCAAATTATTCGGTGCACCCTGCTTGGAGAAAAGTTGTATGAACATTTTGACATTTTGGTGTGTGTGTGTATATATATATTTTCGTATCTAACTGCATTGCCAAAAATGGCAATTTGAAGTGAGCGGTTCCTTTTGGAAACTAGTTTTTCAATTGGAAAAATGTTATATCGAGGGAAGAGAGAAATCTTACTTCTGGTCTGATGGTCTAGAGAGGATCGAGAATTTTTGCACCGAGGCAAAGTCGGGCCTGGAAAGTGTATCAATGACAGTAATTCGAAGCAATTGGGTCTGACTTGAATTTCAATTCGAAACCATTGCATTTTATGGATGAGCAGAGATAGAAAGATTAATCCATTTGCATCATTAGCGTATATATGCGCTCAGTTATTCTGGTCACTATCATTCAGCCTGAAATTTGGTGATAAGGACCCTCTTTTTCATACTTCCTTATGATGCAAATGGGTTAAGGGCTCCCATTTTTTATTTCGAATTATTAACTGTAAATGTTTAAAGAGAACGTTGCCTCTGCAGAAGCGAAGTCGTTAATGTCATTACTCTATATAATCCGTATCATTGAAAATGTTTATTCTGCTTAAATTAAGCGGAATTGTAACTTCTAGTTATCTGTCAAATGATGTATCTTTATATGCAGAGAAAAATGTTCTTCTTCAGATATTTCTCGGGTCTAAAGTGATTCCTCGTTATCGTAGAAACAAAGTCATCCGCTTGAATCTTTGGAAATCGCCCCGTCACAAATATCCATTTAAAGCAAGCGGATTCCAATTGAATTAAATTCGATACACTCTTATTTTCGAAGCTAGAAGACTTTTTTCATCCTCGCTTCGGTCTGCTGGGTTCAAGAAGATTCGAAATTTTTTAGCGCAGAAGCAAATTCATCTGCTCCAATGACTGAAAAGCGATCCGTTGGGAATATTAATTTTGGAAAAGTTGGATGGGCTTCGAATAATTTGGAAAACATTTTCTATTAACACAAAATGGCCCAAAGAGGAGAGGTCTTTCTTATTACCTTTCAAAAGGCGAAGGTTTCCACGAGAATTTCGTGAAATTACTTCCTTAATGATATCCGTTTACCGTGAACGATAAACTCTGTCCGAGTGAAATTTAAACACACTTTTGGTTTTAATGAAAAATACGTAATATTGAAAATTGAGAGAAATCTTATTTCTGTTTTGCTCGTTTCCGGAATTACGATTTTTATAGAAATTCTGTCACGTTGAACTTAGAACATTTCTGTAGAATTTCGAATTTATATTTAAATAACTTATGGTTTTCTAAGCTGTGTTCATTCTTCGTAGAGACAGGAACTCATTTCGTTCATTTATATGTGCTGAAATTTACAAGGGAGGTATAAACAAATAAAATTACGTATTGTAGACAGTCGTGTATGACATGTATGCAATTACATGTTATACTATATATGTAATTGTATCGTGTAAATTAAATGAATCCTTCTAATTGAAAAACGTAAATGGGAATAATATATAAACTTCGCGTTCGAATAAGTTTGCAAAATTTTTCTATAGAGGAGTACACATAACTTGAAACAACGAGTACATCTAAAACTTTAGATGATCTTTCAGCTTAAATAGCAGCATGTGCGTTTCAAAATGTGTTTTATGCCAAGTAAATTTTATACTCCTCTAAATTAACTTTCTCCGTAGATTTAAAAGGACGTGAAACAAAACATTTAGTGCGTTACATAAAAAAGAAATCGCGTGAAGTAAATTCAGCACGTGCATTGTTCCAAGCAGAACTTGAGAAAATGAGATCGGCTTGCTTGTGATACATTGACTTTTTTTGAAAATATCCCTTCTGGATTTTTCCTTAGGCTATTTATATTTACACATTCACTAGTACTATTTATATTTACACATTCACTAATAACTATATTTTACCATAAAACAAGACGTTTTACACGCCTAGAGAAGACTCGTTAAATCTTATTATTTACACAGTATATTCCTACTGTTAAAGCAGGAATTATTGTATCACTAAACTTCTCATACTTTAATATTATAAGATATTATGAAGTAAGGGCATTATATCGTACTTCCTACGCGAAATTTATTTCATTTGTCATTACCTTTCCGAAAGTAAGTTTTTATGAATCTGACTTTTTTGGACTTGAAAAGTGTTTGACTCAGAACAGTCGCACAATTTATTGTACGAATATCTGTATTACCGTTTACGTGATACAGATATTCATACGAATAGCTACTAATCTTTCAGTCATACCGTTGATTCATATCGGCAAATAAATACCGTAACATTTCGACTGTACTCGAGAAAAGGGCAAAACGGTATCTCTTCCTCATTTCGTAAGAAACGTTTCGCAAGAAATTGCTCCGTTTTTCCCTAAGAAAGTGCTAACACCCTATATCTCTTCACGTTGCATTAAGTCAGAAGAACTAATTGGAAAATGAGAAAAAAAAAAGCAATACGTCACGCCACAGTCGCTCAGTGACTTTACAATTTAACCCCAGATTGAGCGACTTGGTCAGAAGATTGTTCGGAAGGTGATATTCCCGCTCGATTTACCATAATGGAAAATTTATCGCCCTTTCATCGTTATGAAACGAGAAAAGTACCGACAGTGACATGGAGGTGACAAAATGGTCAATACCTTGCGGCTCCAAAAGCTGTGACCAGAAGACTATTAGTAGAAAACTTAAATGTATCATTTGTAATAATTGACCATTATGGCCGAGCTACTATCAAATCAACAATACTATAGTGGAAAATTTATCGCCCTTTCATCGTTATGAAACGCGAAAAGTACCGACAGTGACATGGAGGTGACAAAATGGTCAATACCTTGCGGCTCCAAAAGACTATTAGTAGAAAACTTAAATGTACCATTTGCAATAATTGACCATTATGGCAGAGTTACTATCAGGTTGTGGTTCAAGCATCGGCAAACTTCTGCGCTTAAAATTGACTGTTCTGCCACCCAATTTACTTTTGGATGACTCCCTTAGGAGGGACGATAATGACTGAAACAATGATAAGGAAACGAAACGTAATCATTTTTGCGATTACCCTAAAGATGTGTGTGTGTATAAACATAGTGCAACAGTGTTTATATTTTCTCTCATGTGGGGTAAAAAATGAAAGTTTATCCGCCTTTATACACATACCAACACACCTGCTATATCGTTTTCACATCAGATCGCCCACTCTTTGCCTAGGGCCTTTCTCTATTTAAATCTGACCCAATCCCTTAATCCATTCAAGTTATTCTAATCGACTTTTAAATCCATTGACCTAAACGTACGGAGAAAAAATTTTCTCGAATGAAGTATCAACTTCTGAGCGACTTTCATAATTTCTTATTTATACTTTCCATACGTTGTATACGTTGTGTTAATCCGTTTAAAAGATATTTAAGAAGTAGGTGAAGTTTATCTGGGAAAAGCTTACATTGTGTGCTATCAAAAGGCCATTTTTACTTAACCATTCTTGGTAGTTTCCTTTGGCAGTCCAATATGGCTACTAGATCTTCGTCACTGACGAATTTCGGCAAAAGCTTTGAATTTTAATTGGCTTGCATCACCTTCTGGATTCTGGTTTTAATTGCTTCTCCCATTAGCCAGTTAAAAAACAGGTTCTATCTAGAAAATGATCCGAATTAACCTGAAAGTAATGGCAAAGATGAAGTTGTTTTAATGCTCCATTCGACTAACAAACAACCCGACTTGTGGCTGGTTTGGTATTTTTGCAAAAATATATTGTAACCCTTGTTGGTTGAACAGGAGAAAATAATTTCGCATGTAAAATTGTATCTTTTTAATATCGTAGTACTAAGATCCTGAGATATAGCTATGGATCACTTCTTATATCACCGGATATCAATCCAGACACTAAAATCATTCTTTATAACAATGGCGTGACTCCTTAATCATAAAATAAGATGGAAAGTCAATTTACTTGGCAGTTTTATTTCAATTGAAAAAGTTGTGCCTTTCACACAAATGCCATTGACTTTGGTATCGCGTTTCGGTTAATTGGCAGAGTTTCTACATTTAATTGGGAGACAATTGATCGCATAAAAGTACTTATATTCAATAATTATGTTCCCAGTGTTTGCAACAAGCATTTAATAGACATTCAGTGGACATCAATTATCAACGGTAAATCTTTGTCAAATACTTATAAGATGTTCACATCTTTAAATGCTCGGTGCACTTTTAAGACATTAAAAAAATGTTAAATAAATATATGAAGCACAATTTGGGTAACCGCTTAGAAATTTATTTACTACACGTTTATTTAAAATGCACATAGTTCCCTCGGTTAATTAATTTTACGGATGCTTAGTACCACGATGATTCTTTTATTTAATTCTTGCCGTAACGCGCACCAGAAGAAGAGTTGATTAATTACTCATTTACGCCTGTTTGCAACAACCGGCCATTTAAAGCAAGCAGGACA